TGTATACACATATGTACAAAGTGATTCAGATCACTTCGTTATTATTAAAAATATATATTCTTGACACTTAAATTTTAAGACACCTTTTTATTTGAAAAAATTATATCTGAAGCTTACTTTTTGAGTCATTAATAAAACTAGTTGATCTATCATGAGTCGGATACAAAAAGTATGCAGGACACAACTCAGCATCAGACGCGAGCTATTACGTACCTTAATAAGCACATTTGTGAAAATATTGCACAAAAAAGGCATCATGAATGGCGACAATTTTGCAATGATTGCACTAAGATGATTCGCCATAACGCAACAGATTTGTCGAAATAAAATGTTGTAAATAAACTTTGTCCAAAATTGCAAAAAAGCCGTTATGCATTTCTACAGTATATACCTCCAATCGGTAAATTGTGAAAATATTGCACAAATATGACATCATAAATGACGACGATTTCTTGCATTTTTTCATATGCAATCATATTTCTACATATTTGAAACATCACATAGCTGAATTTCTTTTCTTACTTATTGGACAATTTCTTTGTAAAATTAATTTTGCAAATATACTGTTAAGATGACTTGCCATATCGTTATTCTTTCGCCGAAATAGTATTTGAAAAGTAAGTTTGCAAACAACTACAAATATTTCAGAAAAGATCAATGTTTTTACATCTATTTCCTAAAATATGTCTGTATAATTGCAAATTATAATTTTAGTGCAAAATTTTGTCACATAATTTTGTAATTGGTTTCCTATCAGGTTTTGCTGCCTGACGCGATCAGCTAATCGCTACACACTGTTTCTGTAGTTTTCTCTCTGTCTCTTTCTTTTGCTCTCTTTTTCTCTCAGTTATTTAGTTCTTCATTCGTAATTTGTATTACTTAATCCGTGCATTATATAAATTACTGTCACTCACGGTGAGTTGCGCCGCTTCTGCGCATATTTTATAATATATTCACATATAATATATATTAATAAAATATCCCTACCTCTCGTATCCGACTCGTGGTACGTCACCTATTTTTATTAATAACTCAAAAAGGAAGTTTCAGACACAATTTTGTCAAATACCATGATGTCTTAAAATTTAATCAAAATTATGTATTTCTAAAGATAAAGGGTTCCTTTGAAGCCTTTGTACATGTACATATGGGTAATTCTCAAAAAACGTAATCTCCGTGGACTGTAATCTCCGTGGCATATTGACATAAAAAACATAGATAAGTTTTTTATATTGCATAGTCACGTATTCATATTACGAATGGTGACTTAAAATGTTATAAAATAACATAATTCACCGCTATCCGTTAGTTAATAATAATTATTTTTTATCAACACTGAAAGGTGAAATTTACGCGTTCACAGAGAATCACCCATATACATATACATATACTACAAAACAGGTGTACACACTTGTGTATCTTTAGCCCACAACATAACAAATATACATAAGAACATAAATAGACTGTTGCAAACATAAAAATCCACAGTCATACACAGGCACGTCATTATACTTAAAAAGATACTCTATAGAAGTGCTATATAATTGCTAAGTACACACTACTTGCAAGTTTTTACAACTTTAAAAAATTTAAATACAGTTGTTTTCGCAATGTAATTTTTTTGTGGCTTATCTATTTTTTGTTCATAAATGAACTGCACATAAAAAACCGATGATATATTGTGTTGTACAAATGTATCGTTTACGATAGTGTACTATTTGTTGTTTTGACATCATAAAGACTATAGTATAGGAGTGCTATCTAGAACAACAAATATTCGATATTTTTTGTTTAAAACAGTAAGTTCTATAAAAATTATCAGCAATACATGTAAATATTCAATAAAAAAAAATAACTTCGTAATCTTTATAAACATACATATAACTTAGAAAAGAAGAAAAAGAATTGCTATATATTAAGATGTCACAAAACTAGTAGAATCTACAATATTTTAGATATGAAACACTAAACAACACAAAGATATTGTTAAATAATTATATATTAAAGACACTTGGTAATTAACACTGTGTTACAACATAACTTCTTTTGCTTTTATAGAATAAACTTCTGGAAATAATGAATAAGTTTCTTGATGACATATCACATACACATTCTTCGGAAAATAGTGCCAATAATCAATTCTATCATGAAGTTTTAAAATGGACATGCATCCTTGGTAGTTTAAAGTGCCAAGAACATGTTAATGGAATAGTAAATTGGCATTTTAAACATCCTACACAAAACAAGTACGTTATTCTATTTTCCCAATAGCAACTTGACGTCCGTTGAAGTCACAAAGATCTTACCGTGCTACTGGACTTATATCTATGGAATAACACTAATGGATTAGACTTTAAGAAGAGTTATATTTATTTAAGTAAAAAAAAAGTCCTAGATAGCCACTGAGTGCAAATTGTTGGTAACTTGCCACAAATATTGCTCATTCCTCATCAACAAAATATTTTGTTGGCAAAACAAAAATTTTACTAAACTTAACAAATGTTTTTTTGCTGGCCGTATAGTAACTAATTTCTTGCTATTTTAGCAAATCTTTTGCTAAAAAAAATCATGAAGAACGACGATCCTGCAATGATTGCACCTAGATGATTCGCTATAATGTAACAGTTTTGTCGAAATAAAATTTTATAAATAATATTTGTCAAAAAAGTCGTTATGCATTTCCATAAGTATATGCATGAATTACGTAGATTTCTTTATATGCAATTATATTGCTATATATTTTAAACATCACATAGCGAAACTTTTTTTCTCACTTATTGGACAATTTCTTTTTGAAATTAATTTTGCAAATATACTGCTAAGATGATTCGCTATATCGTTATTCTTTTGCCGGAATAATATTTGCAAAATACTTTTGCAAACAATTACAAATATTTTTAAAACGATTAATGATTTACATCTATTTCCTAAAATATATCTGTATAATTGCAAATTAATATTTTAGTGCAAACTTTTGTCACATAATTTTGTAAATGTTTTCTTATCAGGGATAAGTTTTCAGCACTGTAAGAAAAGAGTGTATTTTGTTTTCAGTACGTTCTTGCCAGCAACAATCTTCAAAATATAATAACAGCAAGTTTCCAACACCTCATCAACAATAAACTTATATTATTTTTCAACTTACGAATAAAAATCATTGCTAACATATTGCTCACATATTGCTTACTCACTTGTCATAAACATTGTCTACTACAATTTGTTGACAATAACTCTCCATATTGATACTAACTTAACAAAAACATTTTTGTTGCATTAAATAAAAACAACACAACAGCAATTGGCGAGCATCTTAATCTAAACAATAATTTGCTTTATATTGAGCTTTCACATTTGACTATCTGGGATAATATATGTTTTTCTTGCAGACTGTTGCCAAGTTGGCAGAAGTGGATATATTGCCAAAGACTAATGTTAGACACTGTCACTTATGAAACGTCTGCTGTGTGGCAAGATATAGTCAAGATATACCAAACACAAGGGAAACTAGAACAACTTTTCGAATTCTTACCTTGCTTTAAACAGTATAAGAATCTGTTGGCCTTTCTATCGTTTCTTCATCATAATTCTTTACTAATACGTAGAAGTAGTTTAAATGCAGACAATAGTGATGTTTACAAAAACATTGTAAATGAAAAGAAAAGTGTTACTGTTACTTTACTTTTTAATATTTTTGCTACGCATTCAAAAAATATGTCAGCTTTGAAAATTATACTATTCGGACTAGAAAATGGAATAGGAAGGTAAAAAAATTATTTTGTATGTATAAGCATTTTTATGCAGTAAAACGAATATCTATTTTACATAATCTGCATATTTTTTATAATATCTTTATTCTCGGAACAAACATTGTTGTCTCATGTTATATTGTATAATGTATTATGTTATATTGTATAATGTATAAGTAATTTTACATATGAAAATCTGTTATTTGTTTTCTAGAGACGTGAACATATTAGCAATAATAAATTGTATTATTAATAACATATATTCAAACGACGATTTGACAAAGGTATGTTGTATGATCTTCTTTATTTTTTGTAGTCATATATGCAAAACAGTATTTCCGTATTTTTTACATATATACAGAGTGTCCGACAAGTAGTATAAAATCTCTCGTAGGCAGGTAAAAAGAGTAAACTTGTTCCAAAAAGTCGAGAACCATTTTTTTCGGTTACATATGATAAAAAAGTAATTAGTAAATAATCACGCGCCTGGTGTGCGTAAGCTGTCCGCGCGGCTTACAGGCGAGCGTCCGGCTAAAGGTCGGCGCTGAGTAGCTTGATTTATTCACTAAATACTAATAACTTTTTTATTATATGTAATAGAAAAAGATAATTTAGGACTTTTCGACTCAGGTTTACTTCTTCTATCTGCCTACGAGAGATTTTACACTAATTGTCGGACACCCTGTATATATGTATGTATATAATAAAAAATGTAAAGAGGTATAGTGTTGTCTAGATTCATACCTGCTTTTGATATAAGGAAAGAATAATTTCTCAAGAAAAAATGGAAAATCATATAGGAGTATATGTGGGTCGGATGCAATTTTGTATGATCGTGTACACTTGTATTTAAGTCGAATATGATTTTATATAAGTTGGATATGATTCTATGTGATCGTGTAAAATCAAATCTGAAATTTGGCGCGATCATTTTATAAGATCATATATAAATATAAGAAATTACATACTATCATACATACTTTTATGTATCTATATATGATCCTATAAAATCAGATTGCGCTAAATTTGAAATCTGATTTTACACGATCGCATAAAATCATATCCACTTTATATAAAATCATATTCGACTTATCTAAAAGTTTATCTAAAAGTTTCATACAAAATTGCATCCGATGTACATATAAACCTATATGATCACATGATGTTTCATTTTCTGTCGAGTTTATATTATGGAATGATGTTACATGATATAAGGAAATCACACAAGTTTTAATAGTACATGGGTTTTTTCAGATTACTAACGAAATATTCTTAAAGAAATTGCTGCATATGCATCACATGGTAAATGTATGTATAGATTATTAAAAGTTATTGTAATATTTTTTTGAAATTGGCCGTTATTTTTTCTTTTCTTCAAGTATAATTTATTGTTTATATGTAAAGTTTATATGTAATGTTTATATGTAAAGTTTATATGTAATGTTTATATGTAAAACTTATTGTTTATATGTAAATGATGTATATTATATCTAGTAAAAGTATATTCCGTACTTCATATATTTAATATTTATACACAAGTATTCAGAATTTTACTTTAAATATATTTTGTTCTAGGAATCATTTGTTCTCGATGCCATTAACGAAAAAATTGAAATTCGACGTATGTTTCTGTTTAAAATGGAATCTACGCTTTATTGTGCTCCTCATTATTATTTTAATTTCATAAGCTATCGCGTATTTAGCTGCGAATAAGTTTCCTTTGTATGATGGATCACTTTTTGTATTCAATTTTTTTATGACAGTTTACATTTTGAAAACAAACACTTTTAGTTGAAAAATTTTATTCATTTGTTGTGTCTAAATTTTGTGTTTGGTTCTTTTAAGTAAGCTTTATTTTATAACACTAACTTATACTAATAGTTAGTAGAATTGAGTAAAAGTAGAAATACAGTTTTCGTATTTTACTATTTAACAGTTTGCATATTAGCGATAAAATAAAGTCGACTTTTCAATGGAGTACACTGGGATTCAATAGGATATTTTATGTTATACGGTGGTTACTACGTGTATATATAATATATATAAATATATGTGTATGTATATATACAGTATAACATCTTACACATAAACTTTAGACACATAAATATTCTCACACAGAATCTAGATATACAAGTAAGAAATGTAAGAGAAAAATTAATATTGTTCAATACTATTTAATGTTGTATAAGATATGTTAATGTTGTATAAGTGTTGTATATGTTAATCAAGATATGTTAATCATATAATTTAAAAAATGTTGCAAACTGTTGAACTGCAAATGTTGAATAATTAATTAAAATTACAAAATTGTAAAATGTTAAATGAGAAGTTATAATTTACGTTATAGTTTATTGTGTTTGTAAGAAAAAAAGATAATAAATTATAAAAACACTATTAATTACAGAATTATTTATAATAAAAATTGTAATTGCAATAAAATAGTTTTAGTATTTTTTCGTAAGTTTTAACATTATGCGTTTATTTCTAATAATGTTTTGTGACCACATTCACATATTCTTTTCTCCTCGAATAACGTCTAAAAAGAAATTTTAGAGAGATGTTCGCGTGCGACAAATTTTGAAACCATTCTTTTTATTACAATGTAGATACATAGATTACAACATAAATAATATCGGTTTTTTAACACAGACGTTTATATTCTGTGATACGTTGTATTTTTTCATAGAAAATACGATCGTCTTGTAGCTATTGATGATTTCTCAAAAATATAAGATCGCGCATTTGTGCTTAGACGATAAAGTGTGTTTTGCTATCAATGAACTAAACACTTAGATTGAACTTTGCTTTAAGAAAGTAAATATTTACACGTAAGTGAATATTCATCACATTTTGCATGCATTTTTAACTTTTCACGCAAAGCGAGATTCATTTTTTACATCGCTGCAGTTTCTTATCTATTAGAAATACAAAAAAATACTTTAGACAAAAGTTATAAGAAAGGTTTTTTTCTACAAAATTGAATATAGTTATTTTTATTGTAGGACCAACTGATAAGTAGATATTGCAAAACAACATATTTTAGACGTCATTTTTTCAAGATGACGGCGCGAGCGGCGACCCGCCGTGTTGGAAAACTTGGGATTTTCATTAGAAAACCGTACTTTAAGACATGTTCAAAAATAAAAACTACCGGAATTTTTGCAAGCAAAAAGTATATTTTGACTGAATTAGTAGTATAAATGGATTAGTATTATAAATCTCGAAAAAGATACAAAACGCGTCAAGCACAAGAAATTATGTGTTCTATTTGAATTAACATAAATTTCAAATCAAAACTCAAACTCTTTTTTAGTTTGTGACATGGTGGAAGAACCGCGTTTGTCTGCAAATTTATTGCCAACAACATCATTTGCCTACATCATGTTTCTCGACAATTCCTTGGCGCACACAAATTATTGCCTACCTTTCAATTGCCTACAAGCTTAATTCCTTACAAGGTCGAATGCGCACAAATATATAATATACTTTGTCTAGTTTTTCTCACATTAAATATGCAATTGTCAAGCCAAAAGAATCATATCAGCGCAGTAAGTATCAGAATGTTTACTAAATTAGACGTATTATAATTACATCGAATATTATAAAATGCTCCAGTATCATTTACTATCTTTGTCACTTGCGCAAGTTTATAATTTTAAAAATCACCACTTGATATTTTTCAATATTTCATCATATAATTGTGGCGATTTTTGTTTAATTGCTAAAACGTAATGTGTTTTTATATTACAATTATACATTTAATTTGTTTAATTTACTAAAATTATGCCTAGTTTTTTTATAAGGTAACATTTTTTCTCTAATGTACATTGTGTAGAATTGAAACAAATGAGTATTTTCTATATTTTATTTCGCACTCGATGACCGATTAGTTGAGATTTTCTTTTACACGCGAGATAAAATTTTAAAGGACCTTTACGCGTTTTTGTTTCATTGCTCTTGCAATAGTTCCACGCGTTTTATTCATATATAAGTTTAAATAAAAAGATAAGGATGAGGCAATAACAAGCTACATCTAATGTTTGAGTAAAATTCTTCTTTATTCCGAGGATTTAGTAAAGATACAAACGTTTCGATCCACAAATTTCGTTTGGATCGAAACGTTTGTATCTTTACTAAATCGGAATGAAGAAGAATTTTACCCGAACATCCGGTGTAGCTCGTTATTGCCTCCTTCCTATCTTTTTATTTAAACACACGACGAGCACGAAACATATAATTCATATAAAAATTCTTCATAAAAATTCATAAATTAAAAACTACTTAATGAAAATAAACTTTGTTCTAGTGTTTTGGAAAGCTCTTGAATTAAGCTATAAGAATCTGCAATAAAAAATAGAAACTAAAAATGAAAGGGCCAATACGAGCCGTTCCCAGGATGTTGTGCAGGAATAAGCGTGCATGTATATATATATGTACACATGTATAAATTCACATGTAAATTATTTTTACATGTGAGTTTTTTGAATTGAAATTTCAATTCTTAAAATCATATAGGATGCTAGATTTGCATCTCATATATGAAAGATCCCAGATACCCCCCTAACTAATTTGAAAATATTGCGAATATATATTTTCATATATGAGATGCAAATCTAGCATCCTATATGATTTTAAGAATTAAATTTTCAATTTAAAAAACCCACATGTAAAAATAATTTACATGTGAATTCATACATGTGTATATATATATATATATATATATATACATGCACGCTTATTCCTGCACAACATCCTGGGAACAGCTCGTATTGGCTTTTTCATTCTTAGTTTCAATTTTCACGAGCCTTCACTATTCATTCGTTTAAAAAATAGAAAGTTTCATTTTAAAAAATCGATGTGACCTTGATCTGATTTTGGTAGCGCCGTGCAAGGTCACACTAATACAATCAGTACACGGAAAAAAAAGATTTGCTAGAATAGCAAGAAATTAATTACTATATGGCCAGCAAATAAACATTTGTTAAGTTTAGTAAAATTTTTGTTTTGCCAACAAAACATTTTGTTGATGAAACAAAATATTTCGTATGGTCAACCATTTTTTTTGCTGACCATATAATAGCAAATCTTTTTTTTCCGTGTAAATAGATCCTTTAAAATCGTACAACTTTTATCTGAAACACTTTTTCGTAAAATATCTAGTTTTCGAGATTTTTCGCGGTACCGATACTTTTTATACACCCTGTATATATATACATATATACGAATTTTGTTTAATTGATTTTAATTTTAGTTTTGCACATATATGTATATATGTATACATAAGAAATCCATGTAATAAAAATATATTTTTAGTATACATATATGAATTATTTAAATACATAGAAGTAAAATTTTTTAAATAAAATAAAAATTCATGAAATGTACATGACAATATTAACTAAAATAAACATTTTTGTGGTAACATAGTAATTAAAAACTACAAGAAAAGAACTTGATAAAAGTCACATTTTTGTAATTGTATAAAATATACCTAACATATATATTGTTTACTTTTAAAAAACATCAAGTGAGTTACTCGATAAATCTAAAGTTTGCGATGTTTTCGCGAGACAACACTTTCAACTGTCAATGTCGTGAAATCGATTTGCATCGTTACACGCAAATGATCGACGTGATGAAAACATTTGAACGACGGTACCACCGTGACAGTCGGCCAAAGTGCTCCGTTTACATATATTGGTAAAATAAAGCATTTTTCTTTCATTTCGTTTTTGTACATTTTTTTTTTTTTATTTTCGAAAGTATCATTTTCGTCGTCCTTAATTTTATTGTAGCGTGATTTTGCGGATTAATGGAGATATCATCGAAGAACTCGTCCGATCTCTCTCAGTATCTCTTTCAAATCCAAGAAATAAAGAAGACTCCCAAGAAGACCGATACATTGTTCGCGGAGAATCGAAATGAGAATACTACGAAAAATACGAGATATCTTTCCTATTGTGATTTTCCCTCGAGTTCGACATCGCGCTACAATCAAGAGAATATGTACGATAGGAATACGGAGATGATTCTGTTGAAACGGAAAGCGGGCGGATATCACAACGAGCTCAATCCGCTCGTGAACCGCTGGATCATTGATCTGAGCGACAGCGATTCTAAGATGGCCCTGAGAAGACATCTTGGAGAAATGGCGGAGTGCGGAAATTCAAATTCGTCAAGCACCGCGACGGAGTACAACAACATGGAGATGTTGCAGAAATTGCCCTCGGACACGGTCGTGATAAGACAACAGGCGAAGATAAACAGCGAAAATTGCGATTACGGAGAAACGAATGATAGCGGAAGTAGCTCCAGCTGTGCGACTACTAAAATGAAGAGAATTTCCCGAACCATCAAAAACAAATCGTAAGCGAATATTAGTAAATCATTATTCAAAAAAAAAAAAAAAAAAACGTTGTATGTAATTAAGAGAGAGAAAACGCGTTGTGTTATAATAATATGATCTTTAAAAAATATTCTTTAGGAAATTTAGTCATCACAAATTTTACAACATTCCAATACAATAGTTGTTTCTTCCTAGAGAAGCAATAGAGGTGAGACGAAATCCCATGCGAGTGTCAAAGAAGAATTTTACAAGAGATTTTTCTCAGTCCAAACAACAACTCTTAGCCAAGAGAGACGTTTGTTTGAATTACGAATCCGGCAAACGCATGAGATCGTCCCCTATGCCTTACATGAACACCAGATCCGTCACCCGAAAGATGTACACTGTAGGCGCTACTTACCAAGCACCTACTAAAAGAGACGAAACCGAATGGAAGGAATGGCCTGTACATGGAATGCATGAAAGACCGGTTTATCATCCTCAAGTAAGATCACATGTGTACATATATGTATAAAAATGTAACGTTTTTTTTTTTTTTAGGCTGGTCTAGCGGTGGAATATCTAGGAAGATATTTCACCAGCCTCGATGGATTGTCCTATTGCGAGATTTTAGATCAGCCGGAGATCGAGATAGTCGCCGTAGATCCGCACGTCAGCGATCAATCGGTCTCTTCGACCGAGAAGAAACCATCAAAAGAAAAAACAAGAGCAAACAGTAAACGTTCGTCAAGTGCCGCGGACTCTTGGAGCGCTTTTCTGTCCCCGGAAAACAAGTCCTTCGACACTTGCATGCACGGGAGTCTTCACTACGTGCTTGGTTATTGCTCGCAAATTATGTCACCGACTTACAAGCGAGCTATAGAAGAGAAAATTATGAACCTGACGGATCCCGTGGCCAAGACGAGTTTTCTAAACTCGGAAGAGACGTGCAACAAAAACAGTGTCGCAAATTCGTCTGAGAACGTCAGTAAGAACGCCGAAGATACGAATTTACTAGAGGCCTATGCTATCGCCATAGCGCATAGCGTCCGGAATAAAAGTGTCGTGAGTAACGCGAACAATCGAAAGACCGTTTCGAATTTACCGTCGTCTTCGGCGGTGTACATGCCGGAAACGCAAACCTCGCCCGTGGAAATTGACAACTCCAAGATCGGCTCTCAGCCGAGCGGCGAGATTACGCGGATGAATTTGAAGCAAATCCTTCAAGACGCTTCGAACAGCTCTTTGATATTGCTGAGGAGTTCGACTTCTAAAGCGAGCGAAAGCCAAGTCCGCGCAGCGAACGATGTGTCCGATCCGATCCAATTGGAAAGTACCGCTGTCAGCAACGACACGCTCATGGAAATGTCGTCAATTTACAAGAGTGGTCGAGCGTGTTCGAACGAGCCCGCGTGCGGCTGCAAGGAATCGTCAACGTGGAACAATCTGTACAATTTGAAGAGGCAAGCTCTGGATACGCAAAAATATCCAACAAAGAAGACCTTTTTGCTGGAGAGTCCGAAGGAAAGCAACAAGATTTCTCTCCAAACAGCAAACAAAACTCACGAAAACAGAAGTGTCGACGAAGTGAAGATTAATGCAGAAAATTCAAGTGGCAGATTGTCCGCAGCGAGTTCCAATAAGAGTCGCGGTTGGAGCACCAGCAAGACCTCGGAAATCGCCAGAATCCTGTCGGAATACAACAAGACCATGACGAGAAAATCCACGATACACAATCAGATTTATAACTCGAGGAGTATAAAACCGAATCTGACAACTTCGAGCGCCCTGAACTTGTCGAAGAGTTTGTGGCGAAAAGACGTGACGGCGGAGAAAAATCGGAACTTTGTAACCGACACGAACAGGAATTTCAATTTTTCGCAGGGCAAATGGAAGAGATTTTATTTGACCCAGGATCAGATCAAGAACACTCGGGCCACCAATCAAAATGCTTGGCACGGTTGTTCGACGTCGTTGGAAAATTATCCGAGCTCTCTGAGCAATCGCGCAAATCTAAGCGTTTTAAATTGCACGAAGGAGAAACCTGTTGAATTTCATAACGATTTGAACAAGCATGAAGTTGCTGATGCAAAAGAGAAAGAAACAAAATCAGGATATTCCATGGATGAAACATCAATCGCGAGGACGAAGTCTATGCAGGAATTGCTTGAAAACACCGCTATCTTATATTGCGCCGCCAACGGAGTTCATCAGGACGATTTATCGACCTATATCGACACACTTGACGCTAAGCAAAGCGCGGAATGGCTGGAGGAGTGGAAGAATTCTGTTGTATAAAAGGTTGGAAGTAAAAACCAATATTTTGTTTAATTAGAACACACGACCATACTTATATATATATATATATATATATATATATATATATATACATCAGTTATTGAGTTTAAAGTTATGTTCGCTTCGGATATATTTGTGAACAAAATGGCATTGCAAATAAAGTATAGTTTTTAAATATATATATCAATAAATATATTAATACTCTTAATAATATTTACAATAAGTTAATATCTTCTTTTATTGAGATTCTGTTTTTATAAGGCTAGACGATTGAAAAACAACGCACATAGAGAAACATGTGAAGACTACAGGAGAAGAACTTGACAAGTTCCATTTTTTTCGATTTTCTGTTTTTGATGTTATTTGATGGTTAAAAAATGAAATATTTTAATTTTATCCAAAGCGAGAAGAGAAAATTCTTCTGATAGATCCCGAGGTATTTTTATAAAAACGTGTAACAGAAAAATACATGTACTTAAAAAATCGCTCTTCTTTAAAATTACATAAAAATGTAACTTATCAAGTTCTTCTCTTGTGGTTCTTCTTCTTTTCATATATATTACGTATATTATAAATTAAATTTCGATTATATATACACATATATACGCATAGATATGTGCGCTTTTTAAAGTTAAATTTAATCGAAGAACTTTTTTTAAATATTATTTAAAATAAGTAGAACGAACAGTCAATAGTCCACAGGTGGTAGTGATTTCTTTTTAAAAAGATTAAAAATATCCTAATTTTATTTTGAATTATCAAGCCGTTTTTTCCAACTAATTAAATATTATTTATGTACATTATATATATACTTACACACATATATTACGTGTGCGCGTACATACAGAAATGCAAACAAAAATTTACTTGTATATAAGAGAGTAAAAAATATTTTACTTCACTCCGATAACATACATAAACAAATTCTCTTGTTTATATTTATAAAACTTAATTACGTCGAATCTTTACGATGAGAGCGTTCCGTTTTCGTGATTAGCACCACGCCGCCGTTGATTTCAGCGTGTAAAAGAAGAATACAAACGACTAGAATTGCGGAATAGATTAATAACAATGCTACAATGCTCATCTGTCGTTGTCAGTCTCTGTCCTGCCTCCGCTTTCGATGTTTATATTTATGAGTGCTGCAAATTATTAAGATATATATTATATATATCTTATATAGTTATTTATGAAAGAGTTAATTGTGATTTTTGTAGTCCGGTCCCGCATTGGTGGTGGCAAAAAAATCTATAAATTCAAAATTTGTGCATGTTTCGATCTTTATTTAGATCATCTTTAGCACAGTCTACAGTGATATGTCCACGGTTAATGTTTGGAAGTTAATCAAAATAATGATAAATAATAGGAAACGCAAATTACAAAATCGACGGTTAAAGATTAAGCGCACCTCAATCTCTGTTTCGTCTTAACCATATTTGTAATTGTGCTGAAGATGATCTAAATAAAGATCGAAACGTTCACAAATTTGAATTTATACATTGTTTTGTTACCACCAACGCGGGACCGGGCTACAAAAGATCAATTAACTCTTCGATATTTTTGTCATAGGCTCATATCGTCACTTTAGTTATTTATGTTGCAAACTCTGCAAATAAACCTAAAGTTTGTGCAAATATTTTAACATCTTTTAAATTTACCTCTTTCTGTCGAATTCCAATTCGCTGTCCTCGCTGACGGTCTTACTTTCGGTCAATTCCTCGTTGGACGATTCATTTTCACTGTCGAACTTTCGATCGGAGCTCTTATCGGAATCATTGTTATCTCGTTTTTTCATCGACTTTTTCTCGGCTGTCTCCGAATATTTTTTGTCTCCCCTTCTCTTGCGCTTCTCGTCTTCGGAAGCGCCGCGTCTCGTTTCCTCCCTATGCGACGATTTTTTTCCTTCGCGTTTTCGCGATCTATCATGTTTGCTGGAATTGCGAGAGCTCGATGTCGAGTATCCGGTATCTTGGCGGTTTTTTCTACAAAAAATATCACATTTATATTATATCTATTTATATTTATATTATTTTAATAATATAAATTATATTATAATAATATAAATATTATTAAAATATATAAAATATATTTTTTTAAATTAAAGCACATGCAAACCGTTTGAAACGAGCAACATTCTTTGGAGATAAGTCGAATTTGTCGACATCTTCCAATGATTCTTCGCTTTCGCTATAATTCGCTTCCACGTCCTTATCGCGTCGTCTTCTATACTTATCATCTCGCGAACTTCGCACCCTCGCGTCCCTGTACATGTCGCCTCGAGAAATAATGCTGATGTTCGACATCTCTATTTTACGTTTCTTGCTTGTCCGTTTGTTCTTGTTCTCACTTTGTACCACGTAAAGTCGATACAATTGCAGCAATATCACCAGCGTGTTCTTACACGTAAAGAATATATTCATATAACTAACTATTCGGTAATGAATTATCAATATCAAACGGAACGCCAGAAACGGTCCGTCCTGCAAGAGATACGCATCTATTAGGATTTTTATAATTAAATCGAATATTAATTATTTCGCTAAAAATAATCTTCATACTTGAAGAATCATGTTCAGGGCGATTCCCCACACGTCGATGCTGCAACAACTGGTCTCCGTTGAGCGAATCTTTTTTCTGGCGACGGTACCGGACGACAATCGGGACTTTCTCGACTTGGTGGCAGTTAGCACAACTGTGAATTGCATCAAAGACCAAGCCCAGATGCCCAGAGTCAGATAAACAAGCACGGGTTCACGCGCTATTTTGTCTTCTTTGAAGGAGTCGAAGAATTCGATGATATCAGCCGCTGTGCCAATGTAGACCAACAAAAGCTGACTTAGCTGATCGCGAGTTAAGTCTCCCTTCGGCAACATCCACCGACCGATTATCAGGATCAGCATTAAAAACTGTTCGATCAGAGTGACCCATGTTTCTGTCGAAATCTGTATGTCGGGTAATTGAATATCAACCTAAAAAAGGCGAAGTCCGAAAAGAAAGTTTCCGCTGCTTTATATAATATTTATTATTTTATTTATTTTTTTTTTTTCATTATAATTGCTCAATAGAAGACAATAAAATTTTTTGTACGCATACGCCCAAGGCTTCTTCTAAATGTTTCAAATCGCCAGCTGCTAAATTGGACAAATCGAAATTCTCGGATATGTTGATATCCGATTCGCGAGACTTCAGTCTCCTGTCCACCTTGTCGAGCTCCAGCAGCCAGATCGCGGGTACCACGCTGCTGAGATAGAGAAACACAGACGGACAAAACCTAGAAGAATAAAATATTGCATAATATTGTGTTGTAAACAATTATATTGTATAAAACGTATAAAAACTTTTAAACAAAATTATACGTCAAATCACAACGATTCACATTAAAATTCGCTATAGCGATAAAACCACAGTCTCGCCTTTGATACGCGATTTGATCGATGTAGCGAAATCGCGAATCAGGTCACGGGTTTGCTTTTACGAATGTCAATAATTTTCTCCACGGGTTTGCGCACAAAGTGGATTCCAACTTGCCGCTAACGTGCGCTTGTGTTACTAATGCTTCAATTTCCGACTGTCAAAGACGAAGACAGTCTCACAACACACCCTTTCCGCAATGGCAACTCTTCGCATTAATCTTCGAAGTGATAGTCCTAATCTAACATCACTATACGTATTATTGCTACGTGTGATATTTAACGAATCATATATACTTTGTGATTTTTTTATACAAATACATTTTTATATAAATAATTTTTTATAGAAATATATATACATATATATTTAACCGAGAAAAAATGAAGTAAATCTAAGTAGATCTAATTTAAATCTAACGAGATAAAAAAGTGGAAAAATAGATTTAATTAGATCCAAATTATAGATCTAAATAGATATAAGTAGATCTATGTAAATTTACACTTTTATCCGAGTAGATCTGAGTAGATCTAAAGTAGATCTAATGATAAATATAAAAGTATAAATTTACATAGATCTCTACTTATATCTATTTATATAAATCTATTTTATATCTATTCAGAGATCTAATTTGGATCTAATTAGATCTATTTTTCCATTGTTTTTATCTCATTGTGAAGTAAAATTAAATCTATTTAAATTTAATCCATTTTTTTCCTAAGTCCTACATTTTGTAATCTTTTTTTAAATGTTAAATAATAATATTAATGCTGTGTGCAGTTTATGTGTAATTTATAAATCATTAGATAATTGATAGTAAATATTGTATTTATCATAAAATTTCTTTGCACACCCGGGAAAAAATGGATTAGATCTAACTTAAATTTAACGAAATAAAAAAATAGAAAAATATGCCTAATTAGATCCAAATTAAATCTAAATAGATATAAGTAGATCTATGTAAATTTACACTTATCTAAATAGATATAAGTAGATCTATGTAAATTTACACTTTTATATATTGTTAAGTCTATTTTAGATCTACTCAGATCTACTATATTAAAACTACTCGGATTTACTTAGATTTAAGCAGATCTGAACAGATCTGAGATTATCTACTATAATAGATCTGAGTAGATCAAAAGTAGATCTAATAATAAATAAAAGTGTAAATTTACATAGATTGACTTATATCTATTTAGATTTACTTTAGATTTATTTAGATCTACTTTATATCTAATTAGATCTATTTTTCCATTTTTTTTTATCTCGTTAGATTTAAATTAGATCTAATCTATTTTTTCTCGGGCAATCTTAATAAAATTTCTTTTGTACAATTTTTATAAAAAAAAGGAGTTGCATAAATATAAAAATATAAAACAAAATTTTTGCAAAGTAGAAATCGATGAACCTTTTTTTTTAATTCTAGATTTTACACCCTGTGCCTCTTAAACTATATAGTTGTACGTCGTTGATAATTATAACGTACCACTTCCATTCCTGATTTTCCTTTATGGTAAGCGTGAAAATACCCTCGAAGAACAGCAACAAGATCGGGCAGCTGAGGTACCAGAAAAACGGGTTCTTCTTGAATGTCGTTACCTGCCAGATAGCGATAAATCCGTGTGACGCGAACACCAGACGCGTAATTATCGCCTTAATTGTTGCCAAAAACTTTGCCATAATTTCAGCTGTACGGTTCTTCGTATCTCTTCGATAAAAAAAATTTAAGAAAACGCGCGCGCTCAACACTCACGTTAAATCACCATATATACATCCGATTTTACTACGTTGTCGTTAAAAAAATACTTACGTATTTTCATGTTTGAAAACAAAATAATCAAAAGACTTTCTTATCACAAGATGAAAAGAATGTCGAAGAAAATAATCAAGCGATGGAAAGAACGGCTCGTTGAAGAATAGCTTGCAAAACCGCTCGCTTCTTTGCGACGCGCACATGCGCCATCGATGCGATATCGCGGAGGGGCCATTCCTCAAGTTTCTATCTCGTGACCGAATTTGCGCGCGAGAAAGAAACATCAACTTCCGGTTTTTATTTTCGACAGGAGAGATGAGGAAAAATGTCGAGGAAAATTTAAAATTCTATCTTGTTATTGTTATTATTTTTATTTTTGTTCACCGACATTTTTTCTGCCAACTTATCACGAAATATGCACGCATGTACAGAGGAAAAAGAGAAAAAAAATGGAGTATTAGCAGGATTTCTTTTCAGTAGTACTTTTTTTTATAATAAACACATTATTTTCATGAAAATGTGAATCGTTGAGAACACTATACAAGTCCTTGTCTTCTGTATCGTAACTTATGTATGTATATATATATATATATATATATCTATTATGTATGTATGAATAACTCACACGATCCGGCTAATTAAAAAAAAAAAACTTAATATGTAAATTCGATAAAAAGCATATTTAACAAGAGAGATATGACGAAACTCTATTTTTCGTCGGCGAGTAAACTGCTATAAACGTAGTGTATGTCGTCCTATTGCGTGATGGTGGTTACGGGGGTATGTTTTGTATCACCTATGAGAGACACAGAGAAATGAGATGAGAGAGGTACAGAGATTGAGATAGAAATAGATAAATGAATAGAGAGAAAGGGAGAGAAAGAGAGAGAGAGAGAGAGAGAGAGAGAGAGAGAGAGAGAGAGAGAGAAACGAGAATGTAAAAAAGCCTCTTTTTTGCTTTACCAAAATGTACGCGCGGAATCATTAATTTGAACCTAACAAAAATTTATTTTGACCTCAAACTTATAGGTTTGTTGGTAGGCGATGATAACGTCGGAAGGGTCGTCGGTGTGGAACACGTGGAGGTTTCGCCTGTGATGGCGTTGACAATAGCGGAAGAGTTTGTCTCGCTCTTATAACGTATGTTTGTGTACTCTCTGCCTAACTGAAGTGATTTCTGCAATAAAAAAAAATAAAAAAAAAAAAACAAAACAAACGAAACGATTAACAATAAGTCGCTAGTTTACAGCGCGCATCCACGCGTCAGTATGCTATAATAAATATTGATTGTCAAATTTAATACCTGTTCCGCTTGCATTCGATGATGAATAGTTTCGATATAATGCAGAACGGCAAGATAGACGAATTTATATTGCGCTTCTGTTTGGACCATTCCCGACCTTTGTGAACGTATTCGCTGTATCGAGCGTTGAATGTCGATCTCACAGTTGAGTCCTACAAAAAGATATTCTCCTAAATACAATTAAAACAAATGGCAGAACATTAGTATCAAAGCGCATTGCTGAATCTATTTTTATAATTAACAGAAAACTGACTAAAATGTATACAAACTATTTGTGCAATCGTACATTGCACAAAACTGTGTGATCATGCACGATGCTTAGTCACTTATTAGTCATCATTTTTTTTTTTTTTTTTTTATATATTTACCGTAATGCTTAATTTGATCTAAAATCATATCGATTGCAATAAATGTGCCGGTTCTGCCGATTCCTGCGCTGCAGTGAACAAGAATGGGTCCTATGCAGGATTCGTTTTTCTTTGAAATGGTCGCCGCGAGCGTTTCTTGTCTGGCAATCGATTCCTGTCTGGCGTTCACGTCGTGTAAAAAGTTTAGCACACAGCCGGGATCTGACGGAACACCATGATCAGGCCAAGCCTGTCAATCAAGAACATTAAATTTAGAATTTGACACACATATCTCATTAAGAGACATAATAAAAATTATATATACGTTAATATATATACATATATACGTTACTTGAAAGTGATAGTGATAAATTCTCCTGGATTTGGAAAAATTTGGTTTGGTTCCTTGCAGGAGAAATTCGCGTAGAGTGTAATCAGCGGTCGAGGTTCGCGATACAGCACGTACTTTCCATTCATTACCATATTCAGTAGTTTCTCCTTCTTCCGGCCAATAACGAGCGCATTTGTTCTGGAAAAAAAAACAATTATCAATTTTCTCTGTTTTTAGTCGCTGTTGTAACGATGTGCTATTTACATGACGTTTTGCAATTTAAATTTAGTTATTAATGTAGTTATTATTAATCAAATTGTAAATTCGATTTCGCTGTTGTAAACAATCGTGTAAATGTAATCTATTATTTAGAGTTCACGTACCTTTCCTCTTTCTATTTCTTTTGTGGTCATGACGATAACGCGGGTGTTTTCTTGATAAACCATATGCCAAAAATCTTGTATGGTATTTGGAAGGCAACCTTGCGTAGCTATATAAAATTTACTGAATGACGTAGCGTCGCCACTAACACCACCAACGATACTCGTTCCATCACCTTCCTCGTTCTGCAAAATAATTTTACAAAATATACGCAAAGTATCTTCAAAAAGAGACGATTTTTTCAAGCTATTCTCTAAAAAGATACAAAAAAAGACTGATGTTATTTACTTTTATGTAATTGGCATTAATATAGTCAGCTCCGGGAACATTTGGATCCACGTCTTTTAATCGCACCCTAGTGTGGTCAAACGGTAAAATGTTCTTGTAACGATTTTTTGAACGATTTTCTGGACGTAAACCTTCTTTTCTCGAGAATAAATGCCGGCACTCTAGTTGCTGCAACGATTCGAATTCTTCCCAAAAACCGGCCTTTCCCTTACCACGACCCACGCCGGTCTCGTTATTTCCAATAGCTCCGTTCCAACACAGCCAACCATTAGAACATCCGTTTTCTTTATGTAACTGTCTAACTCTGCTCTCAATATCACAAGCGTTAATACGAGTGGCGTTGAAAGGCTGCCTACAGATGATGTATCAATAAATGTTTACTGAGTAAATAAAAGATTGAAAAGCGTCACAAAGAATATATGTTTAAAAATACATGATAAAGTCACTCCGCTTCTATTTTGCATTATTTATGTCAGCATAAAAGAAATATCAATATAAATTCTTACCTAAGGTGAACGACACTTCCGCTTGTTTCAACCATGGGATTCTTTTTGTAATGTTCTATCAAGTCACTGAGACTGTCAAACTTGTCACCACCACCTACATCATATTTGTTATCCTAAAATGTTAAAATATTTTTGCACACTTGTTTTGGATCAGAATATATTTTACACATTATTAAAATTGACCTATATAGTTCAATTTTACACAAACGAGAAGTTGAACACACAAACAATTGTACTAACCTGAAATCGTATCATAACATGTGTAACACGATCATCTGTACGTACAGACAACACAAAATCACCTGGTTTGCTTTGAGACTCACGCACTAAAAAGGAACCATTTTTCCCACGTTCTAACATTAATCCTTCTGCCTCTTTTGCTGACAAATGGCCATGAAACCACCTTCAGTCATAACATATATCAGAATAAACATTTACATTTAAGACATTTAAAAAAAAAAAAAAAAAAAAAAAAAAAAAAAAAAAAAAAAAAAAAAAAAAAAAAAAAAACCATCGTACAAACATACTACACAAAAGCAAGCCTTTAAACTAATTAAATATCATCTTATAACTAATAATAAGCATCACTTTGTAGTCTTGTACCTTTCAGTTGTGGGATCAGCACAATTGAGAGGATATTTGAGCTCGATAATTTCACCATTTTTCTCGCGCAATTGTCCATCGTTTTCCATGTAAAACTGAACCAGTTCAGAAAGTGTGGCAAATTTCTCACCACCGTATAGATCATAGAAGTCTCCTGTATTTTGTATTTTAATATGAGTCACTTCACCATTCCGTCTGAGAATAAGACGAAGGTAATTCCAATGTTATGTATTGGAGTGCATATTTGTACAATTCACATTACAAACATGTGTATTTACCTGACTGACAAAGTAAAATCGCCAGGATTCGAACAGCTCGGTCGTGCTAAAAATGAACTATCATATCCACGTTCCACTAAAAGACGTTCTGCTTCTAAACCAGTGATATTGGGATGAAACCATCTGCAACATTGAAACGCAAATGGTTTCTGTTTGTACATAACACATATATTTCGGAATTTTACAATAAAATTAATCGCACAATTATCTACTATTTAAATATATATATATATATATATATATATATATATATACATATATATATATGAAACATCTAACGCGCTTTTACTTGTAAACAAAACTGTGAAATGAGAAAAAAAAACAAACATTTTTATTACACTTGAAAATTATCAGAAAAAAAATCTTACGAACACACATATGCTTATTTCTTGCTTAGCAACAACAACGAATAAGAGAGACAAGAAAAGTACAAAATGCTAAAGTAAAATTAAAAAAGCAGTGCGGCAGATCAGCTGCGGTAAGAGTAAAGAAAGACAGCATCACACCAAAAATGGTAATAAGCACACAATGCCGCGCCCTGCACGGATAACGATGAAAATTGATTCGACTCGAGCATATTTCTCCTCTTGCTCACATGCGGAACGCGACAAGATGCTCTTTACTATATTGACACACGACGAGCATGTAACAAAAGTGAGCGAGCGTAAAGGCTGCTCTTTCAAAACTTGTCGAGAGTTTTACAGGTGATTTAATCCCAGCGCATCGCAATCAACCCGTGTGTGTATGTGCCTCGAATTAAGAAAAAAAAAAAAAGAAAAAGAAAAAAAAAAGAAAAGTGTGGAAACGCGCGCGTTTATCTTGCGGCAAAGCGGGCAAGTCGGGAAAATTGCTTTTAGTGGTCAGCGAGGAAGTGCGAAAATACGAATCGTAATCACCTCGCGGCTGTAAAATTACGCGAATCTTTTCACTCACGCGACGAAACGTGCCTCACCTGCGAGATGCCATGTCGCAGTTGTTCGAGCAACTTTTACGACCACCACACACATACACTCACTCACTCTCTTTCTCTCTCTTTCTCTCTCTCTCTCTCTCTCACTCCTTCCTTTCCTGCCCTCTCACTCTCCTTCTCACTTCGGACTCTATTAATAATTCATAACGATCATTAAGGCGTGCACGATCTGTCTCGAGATCTCTCGATCGTGCGAGATCGCGCTTTCCGATCAGACTAAATCTGGACGTCAAACTGGAGACGATGCCACCACCGTTAACGTCGTATTTGACATATCCACCTCGCAACACGAAAACAAAAAAAGCGACCGTCGACTGGTACGATGCACAGCGCTTTGACCATAAGATAATATTGTTGCCAAGAAGTCCCAACTTGTTGTCTCTTCGCGTCGCGATAGCGCGGCGATTTCGGATTTAGGGCGCGGTCACATGCAGTTCGAAAAACTGGAACAGAAAAAAAATATGGCGTAAGGTCAACCAATTGCACATGAACGAGCAAAAAGTTGATTGTGTAATTGAAATGTAATGAAAATTACAAAAGTGAGCAAATTTACTAGTTGTTGACCAATGAAATCATAGATATTCTAGTAAATTTACACACTTTTGTAATTTTCACTACATTGCATAATACACAACTCGACTTTCAGATTCCGTTCCGTTCCTGTAGAAACCTAATAAAGTTTTGAGTCAGTTTCGCGTTGTTTCTATATACAGATATTTTGCATATTGTGTTCATAGTCTCCGAGAGTCCATACCACTGAGTTACGTTTCAAAATTCTACCTTGATAACCAAGAATTATAGTACACGTGGCGTGAAATATAGCATTTTAGTAACCAAGGTAGGATTTTGGACCGTAACCCTGGCGTATGGGTCTCTCGTCTATGCCCACTGAACTATAATGTGGAACGCGCCTTGCCATTGTGCGAGCTGTCCGCGATAGAGAGCATTACAACTAGGATTTCTGTCTTTGTCTCGTCATCGCTGATTGGTTGAAATTTATACGAGTACAGTCCAAGACAAAAGAACAACGAAAAGTAAAGAATGACCATATATGTAATACTCCTATATTGCTAGTCGCGTATCTTCGCAATGAGAGGCACGAGGCCCGAGAAAGGGAGACGCACGAAGTCCAAATATGGGCATAGATGGTCGAGCGTCATTATGCGCAGGCGCATCTACCAAGTGAGTGCGAGCGAGACAAAACATTGGAAAGTGAGAGAAAGAACGCGAGAAAGAGAAATGCGCAAGCGTGCTTGAATGTTCACCGCATGCACACAAAGCAGCTGGAGAGAGAGGCTACTATATTGTCTGCACCGTAACAGTGAGCTTCAGGTCGGCACCGTACTAGCAATATAGGAGTATTACATATATGAAAATGACTGCGTTCAGCAGAAATCAGCGCTCAGCAATTGCTTTTCGTTGTTCTTTTGTTTGAACTGTACTCGTATAAATTTCAACCAATCAGCGATGACAAGACAAAGACAGAAATCCTAGTTGTGATCAACCCTGGTTAGTCTCCCTTTCTCGGGCCTCGTGCCTCTCATTGCGAAGATACGCGACTAGCCAGGGTTGGTTGTGATGCTCTCTATCGCGGACAGTTCGCACCATGAAGTAAGAGTAAGAAGATCGAACTTCATAGCGCGCCAATGGAAAAAGTGGTCCCGATTTTGACGCCTAATTGAGAGGGAATCCGCTCAAAGGAATAGTTTCTTACGATTGGACGCCATTTGCACAACTACCACATTTAGTATATGTAACTATATTTATGCTCCAAATCGTGAGATTTCTTTTAATGTAGAAATTTCTCAGCAATACAACAAAATAAAGTGATAAAAGATTTAGAAGTTTTCTGTTTACGTGCATTATAACGCTTTGGGTAATTGAAAATAAAATTATAGATACGCAAAATCGGGCAAACAAAAAGGTTAATAATAGAAAAAAGTAACATTGAGGAATTAATAGTAAGAAAGACTATCATTTTCAGGCTCACGAGTATAATGAAAAGAAATTCAATGAAAATGGAACAAGCAGCAGATAAATTTAAGTATATGCAAAAACATTTGCATTTAGTTGAGCTGCCTTCTCCAAATTAAGGATTTTTTTGGTTTTGTGAAAGCAGAAAGTGATTTTAGTGTCAGAAAAAGAATTGCTGCGTAATACTAAAAACTGACAGAGCTGCGTTCCGTTTCACGCATATGCGCGCATTTGTCTATACTATATGTAACGTATATTATAGATAAATGCGCGCATATGCGTGAAACGGAACTCAGCTAAGGTCAGGTTACGTTACTTTGCAAATGGCGTCCAACCGTAAGAAACTATTCCCTTGAGCGGATTCCTTCTCAATTAGGCGTCAGAATCGGGACCACTTTTATATCACGGAGTTCGATCTCCTTATTCTTACTTCATGGTTCGCACACATATACAGGGTGATTCAGAACAACCCGTTATCTTTGAAAATACATATTCTTGACTAAATTCTAAGACAACTTTTTATTTGGCAAAATTTTGTCTGACGCTTACTTTTTGAGTTACTAATAAAAATAGTTGACGTACCATGAGTCGGATTTAAAAGGTAGACAAGGGCGGCGCAACTCACCGTGATTGACAGTGATTTATGTGATGCACGGATTAAATGATACAAATTGCGAATGAGTAAATAAATTAAGTAAGAGAAAAAAAGAGAGAGAGAGAGACAAAAAAAGATACAGAAACAATGCGTAGCGATCAGCTGATCGCGTCAGGCACCACACGTAATCGCCCGCGTCTCTGACGGTGAGTTGCGCCGTCCCTGCCTACCTCTTGCATTCGACTTGTGATAAGTCAACTATTTTTATTAATAACTCAAAAAGTAAGCTTCAAACAAAATTTTGCCAAATAAATAGTTGTCTTAGAATTTAGTCAAGAATATGTATTTTCAAGAATAACGGGTTGTTCTGGATCACCCTGTATGTAATACTCCTATATTGCTCGTTTGAAAAGTTCCGAAAACATCACGGTACAAACGATATCGTTTTCTCACTCTGTTAGAGGAAATGTGCGTTCTGCGCATGCACTGAATCGTGAGAGTGGGGGTTAGTGGGGATGCCATGGGGATACGCAGAAACCATGGGTGTGTTTAGCCGAAGCTAGCGCTACGTAGCGCTACGTAGCGGCTTCATGTAGCAGTTGCAATTGCTGCGTTACTTCTGCTGGACAGTAT